CTCTGGGCATGTCTTTATGAATATAAAGCTTGAGCCTACCCCTATCAGTGATAAAAAAATGAGCTTGTTTGCCCAAGTCGTAGTGGAGATATTCAAATTTGTTTTTGGTAAGTGGCTCTTGGGACACCCTGTATAATATCCGCTTTCTATCTCAGTTGTGTCACAGAATCAAATGATTGTACTATTTAAGTACATGACTATATGGCACATAAAAATGTGATAAGATAATAGAAGAATAAATAGTGTACACAAAAAAGAACAGTGAAAAATATTAAGATGTGCCGAAATAATAACATTAATTTTATTATTAGTTTGTGTCGAATCAAATTGAATCGAATCTGAATGAAAATTTTCTCATTCGTTCTGCATTCTGCTTGAAACAACACAATGTTCTATAGTTGTGCTTGAGTCTCTGGAATCTTTGAAAATTCAAAATTTTCTAAGGCTTTCTTTGACTGTGGAGAATCAGGGAGATGTGAAGAGATGTAACTCCAAGAATTCAATGACTTTCAAGCTTACATGTGCTTGAAACAATGAACGATTACTGGTATGGGAAGTACTCAATAATTTCAAGCTTTCCGATCCCACAGAAAGTCAGACATGTCGCCAGGGGAATTCATTTTCTGTTTTAAGAAATCTAAAATTGCTCAGAGTGCGAACCGCCATCTGCATTCCACTATTGATTGATCGATTTACATTATTATTTGTTTGATTCAATTTTATTGTCATGAATTCGAAAATAAACGATTACAATTAATTAATGAATTAAATCTTAACGAGTTAATCATGTTAATTAATGTATGTTTTGGTGTTCGTATTGTATTTTTTTTATCCGTTGAATTCAATGTTGAATTTTTGTACTCGATGATTTCCCGAATCGACGACATAGAGATTACCGTATTGATCGAATGACAAACCGAACGGCATATTGAGTTGATTTGGTTCTTGTCCTAAACCGTTTCCACCAACTATGATACTACCCTGTGTGGCTCCTTTTGGCCAACGCATGATTCGATTGTTACCGCGGTCAGCCACATAGACAGTGCCAAATCGATCAACAACGATTCCTTCAATATATACCATGCGTGTGAGGTCAGTTCCTTTTCCATTACCCCCAGCCACAATAATACGTTCTTTTGCACCTTCTACCCATTTCGATACACGTTGTTGCCCATGCTCAGAGATATACACTGAATGATCTCGATCGACGAATATATACTGTGGCTCAAACAGTTGACTGGGATCATGTCCAATTCCATTACCACCTGCAACCACTGTTCCTTCAGATTCTCCTCTTCGATATCGTCTCACTTCATAGTTTTCATTGTCAATGACATAAAGAGATCCATCTTCGCCCATTGTCAAACCTTTACAAACAATGTTGGAGATGAGAGTTTCTCCACTTATCCCATTTCGACGAGGCCATCGAACAACTCTTTTATTGGCATTGTCGCAGATAATAAGACTATCTGTTTCTTTGTCGACAATCACATCAAAAGGTTCATACATCTGATTTGCATTACTACCCGGTCAATTGCCACCAGCAACCACTTGGTCACTCGTTGTACCTAATTTCCATTCCACAATACGACGATTGGCTCTATCAGCCACATAGATCGTTTGCTCATCATCAACATACAAACCTGATGGCATTGAGAGTTGATTGATGCCATTGCCTTTACCATTTCCTCCAGCCACAGTGAGTCCATTCGATTTCCATCGAGCATTTGGATGAATTGCGATTAAACTTTCACGTAATGCATAGCCTAGAATCGAATGGAATGGAAAAATAAAAAATAAGAATTAAATAGATAATAAATTTCTAACATTTGCAAAATGACAGATGAATACATTACTGATATCGATTATTGATTAATATAATCATTCTTGTTAACTTTTCATGAATAAACAAGTAAGAAAATATATTACTTCATTGATAGAGACGCTTCTTTAAAGGGAAACAATTGATTTTTCTGACTATTTTCAACTGATGTCGAATTTTTAAAAACTGAAAAAAATCCTGCAAATAAATGAATTTATCAATGAAAATCAGAAGTTTTTGACTTCCACCATTGAAAATATCAATGATTTCATGGAAGTATACAATGGTTTCTAAAAATTGGTGTGCGATACAGTGGAGCTAGGACTAATAAAAAAACGAACCTAGTTGTATTATACGGAGAGTTAGCATTTAGCCAAGATTACTTTTCTTTGGTCTGTTTTGTATTGGATAACAAGTCAATTGTTTTTACATTTAGATTCTCCCTCATAGATATCGAGAATTTCTTTGTATTAATTGAGAATATTGGTGTAAATGTTAGTAAATATGTAAATTACTTTGGTTACTAATGGTGATGATGAATACGTCACAAGGTTAGATTCAAGTTGACATCGCTTTATAGTCGAAAGCCATTTAATGCCAATCAAGAGAAGCGCAGCACCTTACCCTGATAGCAATATAACTACATCCTTCTTAACTAGTACTTGCTTGTGTGTTAAACTATGGGAATATTCAGTTTTGTAGATTTCATCGAAAAGCTAATGAATGATAAAAACTTGGAACATGATGCCTATCAAAAGTCAAGGATAGGAATCAAAACAGTAATAACTTCCACTATTCGATGCTACTTAGTCTAGTACACAGGTGATCTCAACAACAGCATATATAACGAATGGATCCTTGAAAAATAACTAATCGGTCTGCGCCAAATGAATTAAATACAAACTTGAAACCAATTTTGTTGATTTTTAAAGAAAATCTATGGCTTCTGTAGTGTAGGATTCATGGCCTCTATGTTCAGTCTACTAAAGCATGTTACATTCTAGGTTTGTCTCCATCACAGATGCAGAACCCAAAATGATGTCTTCTTCCTTGAAGAAACGCCTTTTCAAGTTTGAGACAAGTTTTGACTTGTAGTACTTGATTTTTTGTAGTGCAGTTTTCAATTAAATACGATGGTTTTATGGTGTAAACTATACTCGATCAAATTAGACGTCATCAAACTCAAACAATCATATCAATCATCAGAAGATATAGAAAAATTGAGTATACCCATTGTGAGAAATTTTTTGAAGTTGAAATAGACCGTTTGAATTGTTTCAGCTAGCATTTTTTATGGGTAAAAGCAAATAACCAAATGTTGTGGATTCGACTATGACTTAACCAGATTCTACAGTTAAGAGAGAATAGATCCGAAAAAAAATTCCTCAGTTGCTCATGTAGTAAGCGAGATGGTCCAATCTGTCGTAGAATCTCTCTCTCAATAACCAGACATGAAGAGCACAATGTATATCATACCTGTTACACTAAAATATAAGATCATTGAATAATTATTGCGCTAAAGAAAATAACATAGATTACATACCAGAAAAGACCAAAAATGAAGTAGCGAAATATAATTCCCATCACTGCTTGCTGTGGAATAAGATGAAGAATCAATAGCACGCAGTCTTTTTATATATATGATACTCAGGTGGTAGTATTTAAACATTTTTTATTCGAAAATTGGCAATCACATCACTTAATGCTTCAATCAATAGTAACTAGAGATTGCTTATTGTACCTCGTTCTAGCTGATTTCGTTCTTCACAGAGATAATAAATGAAATGGGGTAGAAGATAGTGTTTCAAAAAAGTACCCATGAGATTCGCGTGGGGGTATGTCATGAAACTGCTTCAGTTTTAATTGAGTATTTGAAAAAGCTTGTTAGCGCAGCTCCTTCAGAGTTGAAATGTGGAGCTTACATATGCTCTCTAGCCTCATTAAACTAATACACAATATGTAAAATGAGAAACCATTCGTAGACTATAGTTGTTTTGTAAGATAATCAGAAATCAGACTAAGAATCTTTCTAATTTCCGCATATCGAGCAGAAATTTGTTTTTCTACAGGCGCTCTATTTTTATCTTACATTATTGCTATTCGCTCATTATCTTTCATTTTTTTTTAAATTCATTTTTCATAATTTAACATTCTTATCATTATAATCATTGAATTAATTGGCAAATAAATCTGTATTACATATCCAAGATATTTATAGAAGCTCTTAGTCTGTAATGGGGAGCTCTCGTTGCTAAGTGTCTATAATGGAGAGGAGGGGAGCCGCCAAAACTTCGGCTTAAAACTTACACTCACTATTTTCTTCAAAAATATATGTGAGTTCCACAATATATTAAAACTATCAAGACATATTAGATATTCATTTTTGTTTTCACTATCGTGTATTCTAGTAAATTATGTTTTTCAATCAACAATGGTGTATTATCCATCTTTAGTCTTCAAGAGACAAAAGTGAGACGTCTATAGCACAAAATCGACAGCAAAGTCTCGTGCACTTGTTTAATTCAATCAGTAGGAAATGTTTGTTCAATTTGTTCTGTTGACATATACCTGCACGTATGTTTAACTCTTTTATCGATTTGTTATAATAAACGCAAAAAGGATATATGAAAAATAAGTAGCGAAATTATTCTACAATAATTTACTTGAGGCCTATTCAAAACTTTTAATGTATCATTTGATTGTTTTTTGCTTTTAATAATAATATTACCTATAAAACGAGCATTGATAAATACGAGGAGACATAGCAGCGAAATGTTTATAAAACATTTTGAAGGCTTTTAATATTGCTTATTTTATTTGTTAATTAATTTTGAGTGTAAAATTGAAATAAAATCGATCTTTTTATCGGAAACTTAGAAGAGTTCTGATGTTTAGAGAGTGGTGGGTGTGGGTGTGTGTGGGTGTGGGTGTGGGTGTGGGTGGTGGGTGTGTGTGGGTGTGAGGGTGAGGGTGAGGGTGAGGGTGTGGGTGTGGGTGTGGGTGTGGGTGTGGGTGTGGGTGTGGGTGTGGGTGTGGGTGTGAGTGTGGGTGTGGGTGTGGGTGGGTGTGGAATGTGAGGCTTCTCATCATGTAGATCCACATCCACACCCACCCACCCACCCATCCACCCACACCCTCACCCACCCACACCCTCACCCACCCACACCCACACCCACACCCATACCCACACACCCACACACCCGCCACCTCACACCCACACCCACACCCACACCCACACCCACACCCACACCCTGTAAAGTCTGCATCACTTATAGCTTTTATCATAAATGATAAATGATAAGTGGCAAAAAAAAGCAAAATTTTTGCCTAACTTTACAGTTAAGTCTTCATCATTTATAGCTGTTAACATAAATGATAAACGATACATGGCAAAAAAGCAAAATTTTTGCCTAACTTTACAGCAAAGTCTTCATCGTTTATAGCTTTTATAATAATTTATCTAAATGGGTGCATGTATATTTTATTTTCTTAGTTATTTTCGAAATGATTAAGCACTTCTGAAAGTGCATTTATATTATAATTCGAATTAGGCATCTCATGGTTCTGTCGCACGGTGCACAGAATCTGTTTCATCCATCAATAGTATGTAGAATCAAAATATCAAACAGTTTTATGTCTAGTGATGCAATTCAAAGTCTGAATATTATTTGTTATAATAAATAATTAACTGTATGAAGCTGTGTTCAGAACCACTAGCTAAGATTGAATAGAACAACATGTACATTGCCTAGAAACGATAGTAACATATAAGTAGAGAACTACAAAGTGATCACGATCCTGTCTGGACCAAATTTTGATTTTAACGGAGCTGGCACAGAGACAAGTAACCAATTAAACTGGTCCGAGTATATTTTTTACTCGGAAAACTATTCGAATTATTTTCATCTTTATTTTTCTGTTCTGACTAAGGATTTATCGATAGACTGTTTTTCTTTGTAATTTTGATACCAATACACATTTTTAAGATTATTTCTTTTCGATCCCATCACTGTCTTTGAGAATCCTAATAAAAGAAGTAGTAACATTTTGACAGATCCTAAATTCTGCTGATATCAAACTGATGTTTAAATAAACATTGATGGAAATTTATCCATTTAAAGTATGTATTTATATAAAAACAGTAAGCTTTCAGAGAGTTTTGTATATCGAAGGGATAGAACCAAAGAAAATTTCGAGTAGGAAAAAATTGATGTCTGTTTTCTTAGTTCTAATAGATGCATATAAAGACATGCTGCTATTTAATGGCCGATAAAAGGTTCGCTGCAGACAAAACTTTTGTCGCGCACTAATTATTAAGTAGTCTCTTGAAATTATTAACGCGAATTTCACATAAATATATTCAAAGAATGATACAAATTAGTAGAAAAAGACTGTTTTTTCTAGATTTCATTATTCATATTTCAAAAAAACCTATCGTTAGTTGACTATAGCTGCTCATAACATACCTTTTTTCACAATATAACAGAGTCCATCTAAAAAATATTACAACTGTGGTTTACTATTTTGATCCATGATCTGGTGAATCCAAGAGAAAATGCATTTTGACACACACAACATTTTGATTGGATAAATTCTTGATAGAATATCCGTTGTTTCTTTTCCAGTTTAACAGTCCGAAAATTGTTTTCGGTTTAACGAAACTGCTTCAGACAAAAAAACCGAAATCAAACAAATTCAGGATATATCTATAAAATTTTTGGATACCTTTTCCCGGCAGTGGTAATACTTTCGAAAAAGTATATTTCCTTTATAAATGGTATGGGTGTGAATATTTTCTTCCTAACATTCATACCCACACCCTCCCGTTGTTAGAAATACGTATTGTTGGATTAATGTTCGTCCCTTCCTCTCATTGTTCTGAAAACGTATTCTATAATTTTTAGGCTCTCACTCATAGGTGCTAGGGTCTAAAGGAAATGAAGGAAAGAGTGGCGGGAGGCCACAAAAAGCTCGATTCAAGCTTCCACTCACCATATTTTCTTCGAAAATATGTGAATTCCACAATAATCGACTAAGGCTTCAATCGATTATAAACGCTTTCGAAAATAATCCGCGAAAATGCATTAATTTTAGAATAATCCAAATAATCGATTACTAATGTGATTGTGCCATCTCTATTTGAAGCAATTTATATAAGAGTTTCAACTTCATCATATATGTATGACTCTGATTGAATAGCAACCCTATAGTTTTCAAATACGAGCAATCCAAATAACCATGGAGAATTAGAGGTTTCATGTTCGAATCTGGAGAGAATCACTTATCTTCGATATGTATGATTATAATAGATTACAAGGTAATAGTGGGCATAAAGTGGGAAAAATCTGGTTAGGATCAGTTTCTACGTGATTTAAAATCGATTATAATAGATTTTTTTATGCTGAAAAATCCTCTTATAATAGCACTATTATAATCCATATTTAGTCATTAAATTTGATTTTAAATAAAAAAAAAGCTAGATTTAATTGATGTATTGAATAATCATTGAGTAAAATCAATTCTAACTAAATATAGCTAATGTGATCACCCTTTGAGTAATGTATAATCAATTGATTTGATATCGACTTCATTGAGTTCTTTATTCAGCTTGACTTTTTGTCATATTCTTCAGTATGAAAAGAAGACTGTGGATTAAGAAACATACTGATGTAGTCTTTATAACGTAGTTTAATATCATTGAGAGTCATTCCATAATCGTTTAATGCATAGGAGTTACGACCTTGCTTGCCTTGTGGATTGTCGTGTAGCCAAGTAAGCATGGCTGTTTCAAACTCGCTGGACCATGTAAGACCAAAATGATTGTAAAGACGACGAACAGTCTCGATAGGTTGTGCAACTAAATCATCGTATTGTATGTCGAAACGTGAAGAATTCGGACATTCGCGTTGAAATTTAACGTGACTACCAATTGTAAGATCGGTGAAATCCACTGTTCGCTTTATGATATTCTGAATGATAATTGCTGTATTCGGATGCTTTTTATCAAAATAGAGACCAATGTATGCTACTGCTAAACGACACGCTGATGCTAGCACATCTTCAAGTTGGCGGTGTGTTATAACTAACATCGCCGTAGGATAATGCTTCAACAGCTCGTTTATGTATATAATATGAAGTGGCGCTTTCAAGAGCCAGTGCGAGTTGGGAGCATCAATACTATTCAACATTTGAATGAAAATCTTATGATAATCGTAAATAAAGCTCTTATTTGTATCAGTGCTTAACCAGTGCAGCAATTCATTATCGTTAGGAGGTGGGAGGAGGACATGAGACCAGCTGTATCCAACATGATGAAAAATATATTGATCTTCTTCAATGACATGTTGAGGGTGAGAAGCACGCATATCTTGTAAATGATCGCTCAAACCGAGATTAGCGAACATCTCACGGAATCCATGTAGGGTATTATTACGCTGTACCTGTGCCACAGTATCCGAACGAGCAAGTGGAGGAATTGGCTGCACCATTTCTGCATACAAC